ACGCCCCTTTTGACGTTGTTGAATCAACAATCTTCACGAACACACTTTCATCCACGCACTGATGGATTTAAAACAAAGCTTTCTGGTCCCTCTTCCTCATCATCCTCTCAGCAATTCTATGTTCTTCAGTTGCATCTACTACAGCTGGTACATAACCATCTGTAACCAGATCCAGAACATCTTGCGCACCAAACAACACACGCATTTGTATCATCCATCTGTTCCAGTTTTTGCCATTAAAAACTGAAAGTTTGGTGTTCAAACTATTGTCTCCACTCATTTTAAACCTTGCATGAATTTTTCAGATCTTCAAACACACTGTTTCCCAACCCACATAATCAGATTCTGTTCAGATTTTTGTTCAAGATTTCAAAAAGAAACAATGAACCAAAATCAAACACACAACTCACAATCACTCGTGTTCCCCAGGAAAAGAGAACCAAATGCTCTTGATACCAATTTGTTGGTGCAAGATAATGAAAGGGGAGAAGAAGAATGAGCAATGAATGATAACAAAGATGACTACTATTATATATCAAATAGAGGAATGAATGAATTACAATATTGATAGCCTAAGTAGCATATTTATACTAAAATTGAAAATGCTAAAAGACCCTATTAAAGAATAAGCATTGAAAATTGTAAACATTATAACTAAATTATATTTCCAATATAAGGAAGTTGGATTTAAGAGATTCACTAAAATCACATGACTCTCATAAATAACCAAAATTTTCCTTCTTTACAATTTTATATTGCATGTATAGAGGGGATTTGTTCATCACACATTACGAGAAAATCATTGTAAAAGCACTTTTTTTTATTTCAACTATAAATTAGCTGAGGAATAGGTTTTGAACAGATAAGGTAAGATGATCTTGTAATCCCCAGATTGAAATCCAGTGTTGTGATCAACAAAGTAAGGAACCTGCACAAGACAACTTTCACATTCATGTAAGGATTTAAATTGATAAATTAGAACGTGAACAAGAAATATCAGAAAAAGACTAGCTAGATATGAAAAGTGTCACTTTAGAGAGATTTAGCAGCATACAAATTTCATTTCGATTAAGCTTATATGGAATTAAGTTCCAACAAATTGTTACCTCTTTAGATCCAGAAGCATCCAAGAGTAACTTCGTTCGGCGAGATCCTTCTCCTACGTTTCGAAGAATGTAAGGAAGTTCCAATTCGCATAATGCCTCGCGAACAATTCGTGCATTCTAGAAAAGTGAAATTTGAAATGTATAAAGTTCTCTACATGTTTGTATTTCCTCCCACAAATTGGAGATAGAAAAGCATTATCTTACCGGGTTATTTTCATATGAGAAGAGCTCCAACTTTCTAGGGGGAGGGTCAACTCCAGAACACTCCCACAGTGTCATTCCTCTACCTGCTCGGAGAATTGTCGGCATCCATCCGGTGAAAATAGTGCTGCAAAAGAGTCTCTGGTCAGTGATCATCGAATCTTTGTCAGAATGTTAGAAAAACTCAGTCAAAAGTAGACTTATATTTTACACCTCTCTAAAAGTCCCAATGATGGACTTCTACCTTCTCCATATTGCTCGAACAAGTATTTTACAATATCGCCTACAGCAAGTAACCAAGATAGTACAGAATATTCAATGGATTGAATTAGTTAAAATCATTCACAAAGACAACTGAAACGGCGGCAAAATTGAAATCACAAGTAAGAAAATGTGGAGAATAATAATAAACCATTAAGATGAATTATTCCAAACTAGTTAACAACTATAAAAATGTTGGCGGTTTATGGCAATGTCACTAATGACTAGACAATATAAGCAGAAAGAGTTTGGAGAAAGAATAAGGAGAAAGCTTCCTTTCTTACTGCTTTCGTACATAGTAACGCCATTATTTTGATCAATGAGGAAAGGAAACCTACAAAAGGTACATTGTGGTGACATATTTAAATAGAAAAATATTTTATAAATTTTAAGATAAAAGAGAACAGCATACATCTCTTTGCCGCCAGTTTTTCTGACCGTCTCTCTGTGTCTTACAGAACCTTTAGGACAAGGATACACCTATTGACAACACCAGTAGTATTAATATTAGAGGAACTCATAGATAGAAGTCAACCACAAATTAAATCAATTCACATGTCACAAATAAGTATGACACTAAATCAAACTCTTACGGAACTTGTTTGAATACTAGTGACCCAACAGAAGTTTGTGTGTAGCATCAACATTTCAGATTTAAATCACGTTTGGTGGCGGACACATGTCGGTGTTAGACACCGTCAGATATGGTTACACTTCAATTTTACATATGATGGCAATGAATAACAGTGATCAAATGAGAAAACAAAACTCACTCAAAAGAACAATAGATATTGAATGTGGTGTATGTGATGAATCTGCAGCTAACCTCTACAGAAAGATCTAGTTCAGTCATCGCCTCCCGTACCCTTCTACAAAAGGGGCATGCCTCTGTTGAAAAATAGTTTGAAAGATTTATAAAGTGACAATTACAAACTTCATCGATAAAACACTAGTAAAAACCAAATTAAAAAAAAGGTTTGAGAGTCTCAGTTTGAAAATAGTTTCAGTTGTAGGACTAGTAAATGAAACTTCTAAAATGGTATAGCATTATCAACATTAAAACCAAGCATGATGCTTTCAGTAAAAAAATAAATTAACTTCTAGAATATTGATAAATGTCAATAACTAAGTCAAAGAAGAACATAAAAGGTTTGCATATTAGCAATATCATCTCCTAGTTTGAAATGGGGTTTAAACAAGTTGAAAGAGTTAAAGGACCGAGATTCAAATTCAAGTGATGAAGAAAATACTAACACTTGCCTATCCAAAAAATATTCAATAGCGTCACCAAGAATTCTTCCGTAACCCCTATCTAAAGCAAAAAAAGACATACCAAATTCAAAAAGCTGCAAGCTAATAGGAGGATTTGAATCCACCTCATTGTTCTGCGCACTCTCAACTATGGATTTTCTTCCCCATGCAAACCTTGATACACTGGCTAAGGAAGATGTTGCTAACTATCATCATCAAGATCATCAAAGCTCAAAAAGATTAGTCACTTACACTGTATGCAAAACATAGATAATCCCTACCATTTACTTATCTTTATGCTCATTCACTAGGCACACAGCACTATGAAAGGAACAGAAGAACTTTATCATATAAAAAAATCTACTAAAAGTCCCAAAACAACATTACTACACACAATTGTGAATATTTTAAAATGAGTGATTAACTTATTAAGAATATTTGGGCCAAAAACTTGCTTCCTATAGTTTTTCTATAACATTTGAGAATCCTTCTCATTACACATGTACAACATACACTTGCTATAAAAATAAAATGCATGAAACAAACTAATTCTATGAAACATGGACACCAGAAACACGATAACCGACACTGACACGTCACCATCAGTAATAATTTGATAAAAATAAATAAATCAAACATAATCACAAGTGTTAGAGACGGTTTTGAACACCGACACCGGCACGAACACACTTTTTCAAAACCTTAGAAGGGGGCAGCTCACCTCCAAGGAAGAATTACGTTGTCCAGAAGGATCTCCTCCCTGTGAGAAGCATCATATGAGAAACAGTATCAACAAATAATAAAGATATGAATTAAGAAAGAGTAATACAGAGAAAAGCTTGAGCAGGGGACAAAGAAAAGAGAGGAGGGAGGTTGAAGATGAAGTGGGTTGTTGTGTAGGATCTGAATTTGATTTAGCGAGAACTTTGAATCTGTTATTGGAGGAGCATTTGAGTTTGGAAGTAGAAATTGGGAAGGTGGTGATGGTGTTTGATGTTATGCCGCAGAAAGAGTGGTGAACTGAGTTAGAGATGGAGCACTGGAACGACATGTTCTATTTTTTTGGTTTCAAGTTACATGTGGACTTGGAGGCAGCGTTTGGGAGATAATTCATTTCTCATAATTAATTAATTTAAATTAGTCTATATTTATAATTACGAAAATATTAATCGATTAAAGGATGAATTTAACTTTTTATGAATGTTGGTTTGATATATATATATATATATATATATATATATATATATATATATATATATATATATATATATATATATATATATATATATATATATATATATTTAAATTTTATAGATTAGTGTGATTGGTGTGATGTAGATAGTAATCACAATATAGTGTCATATATATTTTAGATTTATAAAATTTATAAATATAATTTAATAAAAATGTCATCCATTGTAAGGGGTTAAAAATATAACTATAATATAACAAAAAGTTTTAAAGTTGAAATTTGATCCGGAAATGTCATACATTTTAAGTTTGAAAAAAATTAGATAATATTTTAAATATGTTTAATAGATTTTTAGAATTAACTAATTTAGATTCAATTAATTTGGATTCAACTAATTTATTAACTCTTATGAATTTACGGGTAGTATGAACATATCTATAAAATATTAGTTTAGATGATTCGTTTTAAATGTTTAAAAATTACTGTATATTATTAACTTATGTTTGTGACTATATAGATATTAAACAATTGAAAAATAAATTCAAACTTTATAAAATATGATTTGATATAATGTAATATGAATTTAGCCCGAATCCATATCTACGAGATACTATTTGTAATTGATAATTTTAATATTCATCTTTTAAATATTTCTTTTACTACAAAACTCGTATTATCGCACAATTTTTTTACTAAACTTTAGATATTTTTATGTTTAACAAACATTTGAACTCTAGTGATAAATGAGCAATTCAAAAAATATGAGTTTGATTCTTAAATAAAAATATTAATTGATCAAAAATTTATATTTATATTTAATTATTAACCTTATGTCGTTAATTTTAAAAAAAACCATTTCATTGTTGTGACCGGTTTCTCAACCCACCACCGCCGTCGTCTGGCCGTTTTTCGATTTAGCGTTCATTACACTCGTTCCCGTCGTACTAATTTTTTCTTCAGAAAGTGAACAGTGATTCTGCAAAGTAGAAATGATAAAACGAACATTATTTTCCTTCTTTCGCAAAACTAACTTCTCAACAACCTCTAAACTCAACATCTTCGATCGCCAACTCAAACGCAACCAGGTTCTTCTTTTTCTCTCTCTCTCATTTTCCCCCAAATTCTTTCATTTTTTTTCTTTTTCACTTAGTTTCCATCAATGCAATCGATGCAGCGTGACCGTGCCGCATGGTTGATGCCTCAAAACGATCCTTTACTTCACACTGTTGCTGATAATCTATCAGATCGCTTGCAGGTGAGTTTCTTAGGGTTTTCCCCCCAAATTATTTCTAATTACTACTCCAATTATTGTTATAGATTATTATTATCAACTTCAATCTCCTTAGCTCTGACACCTTTGAAAAATAAGTGTGTGTCAGAGTCGGTGTCTGAAATTGACACAGACACTTGTGATTATATTTAATTTATTAATTAATTTATTAATTTATTCATGTTTTTAGGATTGTAAGAAGATTTTTCCCTCAGCTTTATGTTTGGGAGGTTCATTGCAAGCAATCACACGATCTCTTCGCGGCCGAGGTAACAAATTTACTCTATCTATTGCATTACTTTGTAGTACCCTGCTTTAGAATTGTAATGTAGTGGGAACACTAACACCACTGTTTTCATGTTGGTTCTGCCACTTTGAAACAGAGCAACTAAACTTGCATTGTTATTGGATAATTTAGAGTATTGGAGAGTGTGTATGATCAATGAAACACAACAAACACATTCTCATTGACAATATAGTAACGTAGTTGAATGTAAATACATGTGTTGACATTGCGTTAATAGGGAATATGTTGATTCCGGAAACTGGACATTATAATATTATATTAATAGGGAATGTGTTGCCTATATAACAAATTAATTATGTAAATTGATTCTGACTAAAAATGAATTGAAAATAAAGTGATTTATGTTTGAATATATTTATTTAAAAGTGAGTTGAGTAATAAACGTGAGTTTAAAAATCAGTTCGAGAATCAAAATCTTCAATTTCTAGTATTATGTTAGAATCAATTCTAGTGACAAAATCAATTCTTCTAAAGAGCAACCAAATATGCACCAACTCCATTCATTGCTTAACTCTATATTGCAGGAGTGCGGTCTTTTAGAACTGTAGTCTAGCAGTAGCAGAAACAAAACTATTTTCATGTATGTAGGTCTCGCCACATTAGAATTGAATAATTTAGTTTATTGGAGTGTGTATCACTGGTTTTACCAGTTGCTCCAATATTATCTATCACTGTTGTCAAATAGTTGCTATAACGGTGCTACAATGCTATAGCGCAGCAGACTTTGTGCATATTGATGTTGCTCTGCTATACACTATTTAGTACAAGGTGTTGCCAAATAGTCTGTATAGTGGTGTTATAGCATTGTAGTGTAGTAAAATTTGAACAAACTAATATTTTCCGCAATCTGCTATTGACAACATTGTTATCTTTATGATCAATGAAACACAACATACACATGAATACTTTGAGTAAATAGAAGTGTGATTGAATGTAACTAACTTCAATTGTCAATGTGACATTAATAGGGAATATGTTGTCTATGTTACTTGTTGCTCCAACATTTTCCATGATCCACAAAGCACTGACACACATACACTGGATACGACACCGACACCGACACGTAGACTCTGGTATTCATCTGTGAAAATAATAGTGATTGAGTGTAAGTGTCAGTGTAAGAGATCTGACACACCTTCAAACTGAAGTGTCAATGGCTCTGTGTGACATAATGATTCCCCCGGTCACTACACATTATTATTTTGAAAACTTCTTTTATTGAGAATGACTAGGAGAGAATAATTTATTCAAAGACGGGATTATTTGACTTGCCTAGTCTATGTGCCTGCTAATATTGGTAACTTGAATTCTAAGTGTGGATGACATTATAATAAAAACAGTTGATCACAGATTCCATAGAAAAGCTTATTGTCATGGATGCATCCTATGACATGGTACATCGTTGTAAAAATGATTACCATGAGTCCATCAACAATAACATGGAGACAACGTTTTTGGTTGGCGACGAAGAATTCTTGCCTATCAAAGAAAGGTGCGGGAGTTAGCTTTGTATTTAGTTATACTTATAGTCTACACTTGATATTTAATGATGATTTTACACTTGACATTGATTAAATATTACCATTTTCCTTTTGAATTGTTTTACATGTATCTTTCCAGCTCAGTGGATTTGGTTATTAGTTGCTTGGGGCTTCACTGGACTAATGATCTTCCAGGAGCAATGATACAAGTAAACTTTCTTATACAGTTTAGTGCTTCATTTTTTCAAACACAATCTAGTTTTTGCTATCTTTGATAAAGTTTGATCCTACCTATCACGTCTTTAATAAAGTCTGACCTTACCTTTCAAGTGATGAACTGACTGTGATTCAAACACAACTCCCATTGTAAATCATACTAATGGTAATTTCTGCAATATTAATGATGTCTCATCCCATGATGGTTATTTCTTTGTGGTGGTTGTGGGCACCAGCTTCAGTTAAATTTTTTATTTATTTAGTTTTTGGTATTCTAAATTTTCTTGTTGTTATGGATTCTAAATGTTGATGTTGGTGAATTTTGAGAAGTTTTAGTTCTTTCCCTTTATAATTGCATGACTAATATTTTTTGCTAATGATCCTTCCTATGAGTCTCTAAATCCTTGGTTGTTCATCATTCCAATCAGCATTCCAGTTTGACGAAAATCTGCCTTATCCTGCTGAGTTTGTCTTTCTAGCAATGCTCATCTCTTAGATGTTTGTAGCATCCCTCAGTTATTTTTCATGCGATGTTTTGTGAAGCTAATTGTATATTTTCCCTTTAAATGATTTATTTGTAACAACCTTTGTTGGTAATCTTTAGTTTAAGGGGGGAATTTATGTTTCTCAATTACGTGCAGATCTTTTTTCTCTTACTTTATCCAAATTTTAGTTATAATGTCATTTATTACTATTCTAATGTGATATTTTATGTTTGGCAGTCTATGTTGGCATTGAAGCCAGATGGCCTGTTTTTAGCAGCTATCCTCGGTGGAGAAACATTAAGGTGACTATTATGTTTTTAGAATACCAATGTATGGGTGGAGCATTTTTATGACATTTGTGCTGCAATCAGGGAACTCAGAATAGCTTGTACTGTAGCACAAATGGAACGCGAAGGAGGGATCAGTCCCCGAGTTTCACCTTTAGCACAGGTATGCATTGTTGCAAAACTTATTTATGTATTAGTTAAGATCCTTCACATTTTGAATGAATGTAATGGTGTTTCTTTCAAATAGAATAATGTGGTTCTGTTAGATCCATGATCCATAATACTAAGCCTCATACTTGGAGTGTAGATGGGGAAATCTAGGTATAAGAAGAGGAATAAACTGGCTTAGGATGCTTGAACATTTTGTTTGTCATGTCATAGGTTGTAGTTCTGTTCTATCTCTGTTACCTGATTTTTCTGAGGCAGTTATCTTACATTGGCTAAGGGAAAATTTACAGGGGTCCCATACAAATCTTTAGGTGTCTAGTAGAAACTGACGTCCCTTTTCCTCGTGAAAGCTTAGCTCTGGGGATTGATTTATACATGTTTGCTGCATCGTTATTGCAAGCTTTGCAGAATGCAATAGAATTGTTTTTGCAAAACAATATAGATTAATCAATGTCACATTAAATGATGACTAATCCTTGTCAGTTGGCACTGTTAAGTAATGAAGTTCTTGGTTTTGTACACCTTCTGTCCTCCATTTTAGGTTCGAGATGCTGGGAATCTGTTGACTAGGGCAGGATTCAACCTACCAGGTGTTGATGTTGATGAGTATACAGTTAAATATGGAAGTGGTGAGGGTTTACACTTGGTTCTATAATTGAATTATTCTAAATGCAACATAAATAATCAAGTTGAGTTCTCCTAAACTTTAGCTAGTGAGATTCTTCCTTAGTTTGAATTCCAATTATAGTTGATGACTAAATTCAAAGTTGATAAAAGCAGCTTTATTTACTGGTTTTCAAAGTTGTTACATGTTCTTTATAATGTACGCGGCTTTAATAATCTTTTTACTCTTTTGATTCCTTTTTGTACCAGTTGGTCTGATCTGATTCATTTTTGTAATGGCTGTTCTTCTCTCTCTCTAGTACAGCCCTGGAGCTTATAGAACATCTCCGTGCAATGGGTGAAACAAATGCACTTTCCCAAATGAACTCGGTAAAGATTTATCTTTCCTTTCATACCAATGGATGTTGAATAGAATTTCCTTTTATCAAAAGGCGAACCTTGAAGGTGTTGTTTCATCTTGTCTTAAAAAAATAATTGTGCATAAATGAAACAGATGCTGAAGAGGGACACAGCCTTAGCAACTGCAGCTATTTATGATTCAATGTTTGCTTCAGAAGATGGCACTGTACCTGCAACCTTCCAGGTAATCAAAATAGCAGTATCAATTTTTGTATAAGAAAACCAGAAGTGTTTACCAAAACTTTATTGTTAGCATTGTTTTAAAACCAGACTAGTCTGGAAAACCATTAAGGAGAGTGGCTCAAGATCATGATTTCCAACTGTTTTTTCTTTGTAGTAACTTGAGAAAATTAAATAATTGAATTTAATCACAAGTGTTAGTGTTTACACCAATACATGTTAGCGTCATACACCGAACACGACTTCAATGTGAATTGATATGACAATTATTATATTCTCATAGGTTATATACATGACGGGTTGGAAGGAACATCCTTCTCAACAAAAAGCAAAACGAAGAGGATCAGCTACGGTTTCTTTTAAGGATATTCAGACACAATTTGGAAACCAGAGTTGATTTCTTCCTTTCACTTGATTTTCATTAGTGCAATTATTTTAATTAATGTAACAAGACCATTAAATCCTTAAGTACATTTTTTTAGTATCTGTTACGTATCCCATGTTGGGTCACTCCATTAAATAAGTACGATGATAAGTGTATTTATAGAAGTCTTAATTCTTTGGTGTTTATTTGTTGCACAACAGTACAAGACTAATAAAACCAGAAGTGACTGACTATGTCAAGTCAAATCACCTTTTGTTCTTTGTAATTTTTGAGTTGCTTGCTCCTCAAGTCATGTGATGATTTATCCTCATATTGAGAAAAAGGAGTATTTTTTAATGGTTTTGATTTATTATTTATTTCGCAAAATATTCTGAGTCACTTTTCAGTTCACTGTATTCTATTTTTTTTTTTTTGCAATGGGCTTGATATTATTTTTAACAAAAATTTGAAGACAATTGGTTCTTCCATATTTGCTGATGATGTAATTCTCAAATATATGTTTTAATAATTTTCACTTAAAAGCACATATTAAATAACAATAAGAACACAATTTAAATTACTTAGCTCTAGAGTTTATCATCATTAAGACATTAAAAATAATTTTAATACAGTGACATTAACATGAATATTAAGCTTTCTATGCATTGTACATCTAATAGCTATACTACCCATAATATCATCTTTCAAGTTTGTGCAGCAAATTTTTTTTCATTTCTCTAGTTTCAAATGCCATACACTGTCTCTGCTATAGTAACCTTCAAGAGTTGTCTTTTCTACCTTTTTTCATAGTCTCATAGATGGTCCATTCTTCTCATTTGTTCATCTTGTGGGTCTTCTACTATATCCCATCCACTCTAAAATTTCTCTCCTCATTACTGCATTTGTGCAGCAGCATATATTTCATAATTTTCTTTAATATCCAACAATATTCTATTTCATTGTTTTATTAAATAGTTGGATGGATGTTGAGTTTAAGTCTAACGATCGTAATTTAAATAAGACTAACAAATTAATATACCAAAGCGATTTAATTTCATTTTAAAATTTAGTTTTATAATATTTAAAAAAATATTACTTTATATATTATTATATTTTACAGATTAACTAAGACAATGTGTATTTCTGGTGTAAACCTAAACCTAAATTTGTTTATAACTAGTATTTTGATCCGTGCGACGGAAAGTAAATGATTTTAATATAAAATTGTAATAATATATAATAATTAATTAAATGCTTAAATAAATTTTAACATGATATATTTATTACTTAAAAAAAATTAAATTCATTTATAACTTTTTAAATAATGAATATTTATAATTCTATATATCTAGGGAAGTGAATATTTGAGATGTTGAATTAATCATTAAAGATGTTGGTAATAATGGATTAAAGAAGGTAAGGAGTTAGGAAAAATAGACTCACTTTGGGCTTTATTTTATATTAACAGTGTTGAAAAGCTTCTTAAAGAATTTATGCTCTTTCTCTATTTAAAGTTGTTCTCTTCTCACTTTGACAAACATATTGCATGGGTCTTCTTTTGTCAATTCAACAATTTTTATCTGGTGGACAAACATGATTGTGAATTGTTCAGAAAATAATGATGTTATTAATTTTTTAAAGGTCAACTAATGTTTTATGGAACCTTTAAGAAAGAAAGAAAATGGAGGAATGAAAAAGGAGAATTTTTTGCCCATTAATTCAAAATTCATGAAGTATAAAATAAAATAAAAAATCAGTTTATGTTTTTTAAACACAAACTACATTTATAAACCAAAACAAAATCTTATGTTAAATTTAATTATTCAATTTAAATTGAAATAACACAATACAAAATTTCACCCGTATTAACGCCTCTCCAAGGGTGGACCCGATATTTATGAGATTAAAAATGCAATATTTGATTTTCACTCATTCTTTTTAAATTAAACATTATAAATGGTAAAAAAACTTAAATATTATGGAAATGTTGTAACATTTTTATTTTCAAGTTTCAAAAACAAAATGAATTATAAATAAATATAAGAAAATACAAAATTATTTTAAATTTTAGTGGAGCTAAAGAGATTTAATAACATTAATTAATAACACATGCTTTAGTATCTTCGAAGTTTTTTATATTGGTTTCGTTATGGTTTATTTGAATACAAGCGAGCTCAAGTATCTCCCACTCACAGAATAAACCCTAACTGATTCACCGCCCATCACCACCGTATCGCTGCCGCTGTTCTCAGATGTGATGGCATCTCTCAACCCTAGCATCACCAATCCACTGCCCACCGAGAGAGCAAACCCTAACATCATCGATTCACTGCCCACTCTTCCTTTCGAGCTCCTAGTAGAAATACTTTCAATACCCAGAGATTGTTTGTCTACGATTCCAAAAATGGTACTTATAGGGTTACCAAGTTTGATATCCAGAAGTTTGTGTTGAGAGTTTGTTAACACCAGACATCATTTAGATGTAAGGCTATGTCACCCGACATTTATGTTTATTCATGTTAGTTCTGCTCATTTTAAATTATATAGATTTTCATTTTGAAAGCAGTATTGATTAGTTAGTTATATGGCAAGTGATACTTAAGACTTGATGAATTTCTGATCATAGTTTTATATTAGGATATCTAGTTTTTAAAATGATAAGAATTCACTCTTGTTTTGCTAGTATAATAAAATGTGTATTGGACACACATATTATGCACACACAAAGACACTCAATGGTATATAGTCACATAAATTTGATTTGATTTGCTAGAATGAAAGAAAACTTATCAATTAACCATAATAACAATAACAATAAGAATAAAAAGGACTAAATGACAGTAAATAAAGAATGTGGCGCTTCTAGCTATAGTGCTGTAGTTTATTGCTATTTGAACAAAATGCTAATTTATACTATTGGCTGCACTAGAAAATATACCCTGCAACATCCAAAAAGTGATACAAGTTTTGTTTAGACAATGCATGGAACATTGTCTTGTTGTTTCCTTGACAATGGCTATTATATGTTGACAGAGGGTTTCAATATGATCCTCATTGCATAAGTAGAAAAAACGAGTATGATGTTTATATCTTTGAAATTTACATATTTAAGACTCGAGACAATATGACTATGATGGAAAGAGGTATCGGCATACGAGTAGTAGTTGTAGTAGTCACATGTTGCACCTTATTTGATAACTTTTGTGTTTGATTAGAGTTATTTCTTGGAATTGATCCTTTAAATTTGGGGTGTTCATAGGTTCGAGCAAATCCGAACCAAATCGGAATCCAAACGAAACTAATGTATTTGGATTGGACATTTTTACAATTCGAGCAAAAATCGAACTGAACCAATAAAAATCATTGTTAATTGATTCAAACATCAGATTTCTAATTTGCTATTCGTAAACCCGAACCAAACCAATAAAAATTAACATAATTAATTCATATATTAAATTATTGATTTTAATCGAGTTATTACTTATTTATTTGAATAAAGAGAATAATTGTTATAGCAATTATCAAGTACCGATGATAATGAAAGAAATCAAGAGTCCTAGCAATTATCAAGTACCAACCGTGACGATTGCCTCTCGATATTTCCGATAAAAAATGAAACGACACTACATCATTCAAATTATCAAAATCAACCATATCAACCAATGATACCACACATCACAAACATTGTTAAATATTAACTGAAATACAATAACTATATAACCATGGTGGTGGTCATAACTTGTTTAAAAATATGTGTGTCATGTGTTTAATATTTAATTTTCATATTTAAGTGTATAAATAAATAAATAATTTTTTTTTATATTTATTTTAATATATCCGATTAATCCAATCCAACTAATCTATTATTTTTCGGATCAGTTTGATTTGGAAAAGTACTTACCCACGTTGTAGGAAATTCAAATAAGAGAAGAATAGAAATCATACTTCAAAATTAAAAGGCCAAGGTTACTATTTCAAATATCAAAAGACCAACTGTTGTACCCCAAAATTTTCCCTCTCATTCTATCAAGATTTCTCATCACAAGACTCTTTGAACTCAAGACCAAGCTAGGGTTTGCTCTGCTCAGGACATCTCCTTGCATTGTTGGCCTAAAATTAGGGTTTGAGTTTGCACAGGGATTTTTGGGTTTCCAATGCTCAATGTGACTTTCATACTTCATTTTGGACTTATAAGATTGCTCATACCAAGTTGTAAGCCTTGAATCAAATTTTTGCCCAGTCAATTGGACAGTTGACCTAGAAATCAACTGTATTGGGGAAAAAGTCAATTGTGGTCAATTTACAGTCAAACTTCATAATTTTTTATCCACATCAACATTATAGACTCATATGAACCATTTGATCAAGTTTGGACCACAATTCCTCAAGAAATTTGATCAAAACATCAAAAGAGCAAAATGGTCATTTTTAGGGTTTTGACTGCACAAGGGCAATTTCTGATTTTTCACCTAGCTAATGGCAAATTGAGTTCAAGCATGGATTCAAGGACTCAATGGCATCATTTTGACCTATTCACAAGGTTCAAAAGATCTCAAAAGCATTGGATTGACAGATGAATTTTCCAGTCAACTAATCAAAAATCAACTGTACAGTGAAAAGTCAAACTTTGACTTTTTGGTCAAAATCAAGTGCCAAGGGTCATTTTTCATCAAGATATGTCAAAATATGAAACTTGTTCATCAAGAAACCTAATTTTGGAAATTAGGGTTTAAGATTGAAAATTTTCATAACTTAGAATTTTTCAAAGTTATGAAATTTTCTTATTTTCCCCCAACTTTGCCCAACATTTTCACCATAATGCAATTGGATTCAAACAAAACTTCCAACATGAAAGTTGTAGTCCTCCACAAAATCTACAACTTTGATTCACAAAGTTTTCCCAAAGGATGCTTGGATCTCAAGTTATTATTTTTGGAATAAGGGTCCATGAAACTTTTAACTTAGTGAAATTTTGCCATAGTTTAGGCAGGATTTTGACCTATCTTCATGGCAATTTTCACCTAGTTCCAATT